CCATGATTCTCGGCTTTGCAACGACCAAAGTGGCGCGTCCACTCCATCGCTGGGTTTGACAGCACTCCTGAACCGCCTTCGACTAGCCATTCCAACCTCCTTTTCTCGTCGCCATTCCATCCCTTTGAAGGCGATTCCAACGCTTTCAAAGCGCATCGGGGCCATTCCCACCTGCTTCCGGCGCATTCCGCCCCCCACAGCGTTGAAAAAACCGGTATCGATTGACCAATCAAAAGGCAGAGTGCCGTTGGACAAACATATCTAAATCGAGCTGACCACACGACGGACCTGCCGCCCCATCGAGTTGGCACAAGCAAAAGCTCCTCGACATCGACACATGGCCGACGCCACTGCGATGACTTCACACTACACCCTTGCCATTGAAGAGGTGGAAGCACCTGGCAAGGCAGCCGTGGACGACAACATCTTGACCAAACGGCCACACTCGTCCAAGAAACGTGTCGTGTGCCTCGACGTGTTCCGCGGCATCACGATTTTTGCCATGATCTTTGTCAATCTTGGCGGTGGCGGACTCGAGCCGTTTATGCACGTCGAGTGGAACGGGTTGCGGCCAGCCGATTGCGTCTTTCCGTTCTTTGCATGGATCATGGGCGTGACCATGAACATCGGGATGGGGTCCCACGCACGCAAGGGAACACCGTCGAGAACCATCTTGGTCGATAGTTTCATCCGCGCCGTCAAGCTATTTCTTCTTGGACTTGTCGTGAACAACGTGCGAAACTTCAAAACCGGGCGAATTACGGGTGTCCTGCAATCGTTCGGGTTTGCCTATTTCTTTGTGACCGTGTGCATTGTGGTGGGCACCGTTGTCAAATCGAACACGTGGCCATGGCTGTGCCGCACTGTCGAAGCTTCCATCGTGGCGACGTCAGTCCTCGCCAACGTTTTGATCACGTTCTACTTGCCTGTGCCTGGCTGCCCCACAGGATACATAGGTACGCCGTTAACAGTTCAGTCGTCCTCGAATGCCGGTCGTTTTAATCTCGTGCTGTAGGCAATGAAATTGAAGGGTGCGAAGGGGGAGCTCACTTGTACATCGACATGGCCATCTTTGGCGAAGAGCACATGTACATTCCAGGGGCAAACGACCCCGAGGGGTTTTTGAACTGGATCATGGTCGCCTTCATAACGTACATCGGCTACGTTATGGGGGGATACTTTCTCCAAGTTCACGAAACGGTATGTCGTTCGGCCCGCCGCTCGTCTTCATGTTCCATGCTAAATTCAGTCGTAGCGTCACAAGGGGATGGTGCTTGTTGGCACTAGTCTGGGTCTGGCGCTCTTTGGCCTGGCCTTGACCAACTTCACGGTCGACAATGGTCTCATTCCTATCAACAAGCAGATGTGGAGCCTCTCGTATGTCTTTACAGTGTCGGGACTTGCGAGCTTGGTCCTGGCCTTGTTATATGGTGTCGTCGACAGATACGCACTTTGGAGCGGAATCCCGTTCAAATACAACGGGATGAACGCGATTGCATTGTACGTGGGGGTACGTCCATTGCGCTTGAATTCACGCAAGCCGGCGATTCACGTTGGCGCTATATAGCACGAAGTGATGGGCAACCATGCACCGTTTGGATGGGACATTGACGACGACTCGAAGACGGAACGATTCCTGAGCAATATTGGCGGAGCCATCATGTACGTATCTTCTTCAATTCTCGGAGAATTGCTCGGTCGCTGACAGCGCTCTGGTAGCTGGACTATGATTGCCATGTGGATGGCCAAAAAGTCGATTTTCATCACTGTGTAATGGCCGCGACTCCACGTGGCCACTATTTACGCGACCCGCCGCCGATCTATCCTACCGCTACACTACAAGAACGACGTCAAGGAACAGAATCGATTCATGTAGTAACTATTCATGCTTCTCTGCTGGACGCCGCCGAAGTTACCCATCGTCGTTTCAATGCCAAATGTACCGAAATCACAGGAAATTAGAAAAATATTGAAAATTATCCGTTGGTTTGAGCACGAATCTCTTATACGGCAATTTGATTGGTTCGATCTTCCATCGAGATCTCTGATTGGTGGAGAAAGTGATTGACAACCAAACTCGACACCGCGGCGATGGCTCTCAAGACGGAGGCAGAGCTCCATGCGCTTGTCAGTCGTATCCAAGAAGCGCTGTCGACTGATGCAATGAATGAGATCGAAACACTCTCAAATGAGCCTATGGGACGCTGCTTCCTTGGCGTGGGTAAGCTAGGAACCCGACGAGTCTTGATCCATTTGGTTGACGGTGATTTCGACAGCGGGGTTTCTGGAACACGCTCTGGCCACGACCGTTCGCTTTCTCAAGGTTTCTTCGCCATGCGATGAAGATGTGAATGCCACCGAGCGTGTACTCCCATCCCTCATCGTTGTTGCCATGTCTTACCCTGTGCCGTAGCTGCTCCTGACTGTTGCCAACGCCGTACTCGATGAGGACAACGCCGTTCACGCTGGTAGGTACTTTGGCAGCTCACGGAAATGATTTCACTCTGGCTGACAGCGCAACTGGGATGGCATAATGTTCTGCTCAAGCTTCTCGTCCACGACAACGAACGCATCACCGACGTACATGCATATCCGTGCCTTCGTCACGACTCCACACGTTCTGAAACGTTAGGCGGCGTCAGGTGTTGTTGTGAATTGCGCGACCCACAACTGCAATACGTCCGGTATCAACATTTCCTTTCCCTACAAGTAAGCTCTCCTTATGATTCCCATAGAACTAACGTTCTTGCCACAGAACGCTTCCACTCGAGCCGCCGACGCGCCCGTGGCCGCTGCTTCAAGCACTTCCACGAGACTCTCGCGATGACAACGATCGTGTAGTGTTGATCCGAGCGGTAACGCGACGCATGACGGGGCAACCGAAGACGGGGTATCTCTTGTGGGGCGCCGCGGTCATTCTAAGTCGGTGGATTCATTTGCATCGGTGAGTCAGAGAAAAACTACAGTCACACCGAACCGCGCAACACGGAGCTATGCGTAGCGAGTTATTCCACGGCAAGAGGGTGCTGGAAGTCGGAAGCGGCCTCGGTCTCAGTGGCATCGTCGCGGGGTTCCACAGCGACCTCACGATTCTGACCGATTACCAGCAGGACACGATCAATGCACTTGCGTACAACGTCGCCCTCAACCAAACGCCGAACACGATCGTGACGCACTTGGACTGGGACCACTTAGACGAGGTATTTGTTCACGACGAGCTGGACAAAGTATGCTTATCCCTTACAGGGGCGGGGCGACCCCAAAGTCGACCTTGTCATTGCAAGCGACATCATATGCGACCCCACGACGGCTGAAGGATTCGCCAACGTGATTCGGAGTCGTCTGTCGGGGACGGGTGCGACAACGTCCGCGAGAGGCGTGCTCAAAACTTCTGTAGGCGTCGCCTACTTGGTCAATGCCACAAGCCACAGCCGGTTTGGCGTCGTGCGGTTGCAAGAAATCCTGCTTGCACCGCCTTTTGACACGACGATCGTGCCAGTCGAGGCGCTCCCCGACGGTGCTCGCTTGCTCGATACAGTCTGGGACGCAAACGAACTCCGCTACGAGCACTACACGATACGACTTCAATGAACCTCCAAACTTTACCGCGCGAAATTACGCACGCTTACAACACACCAACGTCTTGTTAGGAAACAAACTTGCATGTCGTCGAAACTTCGAGATATATTGTGTTGGTATCTCATGGCTAAAGCGGTTGCCTCCACGAGGCGGCGCCTCGACTTTGTCGTTGAATACACCGCTGTCTTGCGCTCGCAGCTAGACCTGACCCCCCTCAAAACTGCACGGGAAGGAGTTCGTCAGGTGGACAGCAAACTCGATCGCTTTTGTGCAAGGCAATCACTTGCAGAGTAGGCTGTGCCCCGTTTGAGGTGCCCAAGTTTCGAATATGCCAGGATCGAGATGCGCAAATTGAAGCAGAAGGTTCGACCCGTGCTGTTCTCCATGACAACAGCCCACCTACCGCCCGCCACCAAGGTGCTGAGAGCTGCGGCATTCGAGCTTACCGATTGTTTACCACAACGGACAACGCGAATTTACACACTTGGCGAGCACGTTCTGTGATGTGTAGTTCCGAGTCATCGAAGCGAGCCTTGGCCACGTGACCCTCTCGTCTCCAACGAACAAGTCCCAAAGCAAGTGGTCATTCTATACCAAGTGAGTCGGCAGACATGACAAAAGAATGACCTGAGCCACGCTTCGATCGGCAGCCTCCTTCGTCCGACGATGTGGCGCAGGATGACGTTCATTCTACTCGATCACATGAATGTAACCGAACCGCTCAAAATATATCAAATAGACATTGTGAACTTCATACTGTATCAACCCTACGTGAATTAGCGATTTTTGGTCAAATGAGCCTTTACGACCGTGCGACACCAAAAAGTTGCCAAGTTCGGAAGGACAATGCCACCGCCCCCCCCGCCGTTTACGCTCGATCGGCCTCGCTACGATCCGAATACCTTCCTTGGGCGATGGAGGCTTTACAGCCAGCGCATGTTGTACCCTCAGTACGAGTACGAAAGATTTGCATCCAAAGCTTGGCCTCGTACGTTTCTTGATGTGGTGCGTAGGGGGGGCGGTTGTTCTGTGCTGATGGAACCGTGGCGCGCACGAAGGCTCGTCTGGACGACTTCAAGACTGGGCACCCAACACTCGGCCACGACGATACTGAGCTATGGGCTGCCCGTCAAGGTACACCGCTCTACGCCACGCCTTTCCCACTTGCCATCGACGGTAGTATGTGATATGGCGTTGAGCGGTGAACACGTGAAGCCATGGTACGCCCGAACACCATTCGTGTCGGCAGCAGTGTCGGCGTTTGGCATGGTGACGTGGTATGCGGGATCGAGGCGGCTTCCCAGCAAATCCAGCAAGGCCGTGGTACCATCAACAGGCTTGCCTCCTTGTGGTCTCGTGGTTCACGGCTGGTTAGGCGCTGGTGTTCACCGGGATGTTTCTCAAGGGGATGTGTCGAGATGTGAAACTCGACTTTATCTCAAACCGCTTCCGTCGTAGGTCGATCTTTGGAACGACGTCGCCTCATGCTGACACGTTAGATAGGTTGACGGAGGCAGGAAGGTGGCGGTCACAGACGGTGAGGGCGCGTACGTGGGAGTCGGTGGCGCCAGTTGTATCACACTGCCAAACTCGTTCGTTCGTGTCGTTTTCGAGTCTGTTTGCAGTTATGCTGGTCCGCGATGGAACCTTTTTGTCCCATGTTCCCCATGGCTGTAGACGTTGGTGTTGTGATTGGGGCCATGAAATTCCAACACCCTGGGTATGGCCTCGTCTTTGGTAAAACACACTACATTTGTGCGAATCCTGTCGGCTGATTGATTGTGCCGCTCGACAGGAGTTCTGACGTTGGCGGGGTGGGCCGGCCTGCCTCTGCTCTGCGCGGTGTTTCCTGCGCGTGGCGCTGTTGACGCCTCCGAACTAGAACCCGAATTCCACAACATGTTGGATAGCCATGGCGACCGCGTTGACCGGTTTACGTACGACCACTCGATCTGGGCACAAGACAAACATGCCAAGTAACAAACGGGCCGCTGACGTCGCACTAGCTGACGGCAGAGTGCAGTCGACGCTCGGGCTAGGCACAGCTTTGAAACAGTGTTTCACTGGCTAGTCGTATAAATTGAGTGGTTCCCATCCATTTGTTCTCGATATACGAGCTGGGTGCTGTCGTGATCTGCTGCGCTATGGACTCTTGTGGATCTGCCAAATATTCCAGAACGCACCAAGCCATCCCCATCATCGGACGAGACTGCCGTGCCACGTTTGGTCAAGGCTCAAAGTCAACGACGCCACACAGCCCATGCGGCCACCGCCGCAATGCTACATGCGGCGCAAACCAACGTGGGCAATGTGCAAGCACACCAATGCGGAATAGCCATCTCGGTGAGGAACTCGCTAAGCGACTTGCCTTGCATGCTGCCAAAGAGAGCAATGTTTGCACAAGCACCAAAGGCGCTACGTCGTCTCGTACTTTTCGATTCATGCACATCGTCGTGAGCAGACTCGCAGCCGTCGTGGACGTTCAAGCACGGAATTTATGGGTGGTCATGCTGTGGGAGTTCATGGCAAGTGTTGGATCCATTCAGCGCCAACACCGTTGAAATGATCGAATCTTCCGACCCACTGCGGTGTGCGCCAGGATGCAAAGTCCTCCTGCCTCCGCTCGCACCCGCGAATTCCCCAACTTGACTGGGCTCTTCAATAACCCATCGTCAGGTGCAGCATGAAGGAATCAAATTATTGCTCAAGACTCGGTCACAATGACCGTGAAGCTACATCAACGAGCGCGCAGGTCGGTCATGAGCAATTGAAAACTTGTCCAGGACTGCGTTTGTGCACGCCATTCCCTTGGTGAGCGTCGCCAAGTACGTCACCAACAGAGTATCGTTGAATTCCTGCCACGACTTTGTAAGCGTGCGACCAAAGCCAGCTCAAAGTACCCGTGTGAAAGCCATGTCAAACAGAGCAGATTTCATAGCTGGGAGCTGCTGGCAGCTGCTCGCAACTTGACGCAGCAGCGCGTGGTCAACAGGAATCTCACCTAGACAAGACACGTCAACACGAACGATGGCGTCGACGACACGCCTACCATTCTTTGTCGCTTCCAGAAAGCGCCGCAGGACGCCCAACTGCTTGTCCAACATGTGAATGGCATCGCGCAACGACCCCAAAGTCCCGTGTACTAGTCGGGATCATGAGAATGGCACACCAGAGGTCGGTTCGAGACGTCGTGGAGGGATATTAAACGCTCGCCATGTATTCCACGATGAACTTACGTGAAGACTGCGTCGGGGCATTGGTCGGTGCGACTTTTGAAATGTGATCCAGCGCAATGCCTTCCGACTCGGTTGTGGTCATCTTGAACGGGGCTTTGACAAACAGCATCGTGGGGGTGTTGTTCACAACGTGCAATTCCGACTCGTAGAGCGCCAGTGGGAGCTTTACTTTGGCGCGATCTTTGGGCTGTGGGGGCGGCGGCGTTGGGTCCAGCACGAGGAATAGTGGGGACTCGTTGAACTCCATCATCTAGGCGCAGAGGTGAGGAGGGCACGAAGCGCGAGGAAGCATACTGTGCGGTGGGTTGCCAGGTCGGACGCCTGAATTTTGCTTTGCACGGCGTACCACCCAAGGAACTCGAACCCTGGAAACACGGTGGCGAACTGCTCCGTTCGCTGGGTCAAGAAGGCCTTCAACGTCAAATTCGAGTCCGATTCACTGAGTTCCAGTGCCGACGGGAGCTCAAACGAGTCAATGACGTTAATTTCACGTCCCTTTTGGACCCCGAACAGAGCGCCAACCACGGGTTTCGTGGAAGGATTCCCTGGCGAAGCAATTGCTGCGGCGCGTGTCCAATGGTCACACAGATTCATCAAGACCAATGGATGAATGCCGACATCTACACGACCTTCGCTCGTTCCTTCGTTGAAGTGATTGGAAGAGTCTCCAGCGTTATGGGCTACCTCCACCGCCACATCGTCCAGCGAGATCGAGGCGGCAGACATGTTGGCGGAACTCTTGTCACTCTCCCTGGGGTGTGCAACTGGACTCCATCTGCGCACTCGATTGGCCATAAAGTCAAATATTTGCCAATATAATTGCACAAATTTTCGAATTTCTACCAATGAAACATGCTCATCATGTCGGAAGTTGCTAAGCATCCCATATTTGCCTCAGCGCTTGCTCCAATAGATACCACAAGCACGTGGGACGTGTGCTCTCCGCGCTTGCTCTTGGCACTGTGCTTATGTGCTGGGGGTGCTCCAGCTAGCTCACAGCGTTGCATGTTAGCTTACAGAGTTGCCTGGGTTTTGCTGCACAGGTACCATGCGCGTGGAAATGCTTGTCGACGGTACACTGATGAAGGATGCTTCCAATAACACCTCGTATAACCAAACGTCGTACACACTCCAAGTACTTGCATACGCACTCTATCTCTGCAACGGATATTGCTTGACACGGCGCGCGGCAGGGCGGAAGCGAGTGAATACCATGCCTGTCCCGAGAATCGCCAAAGTGAACCTACTCGTCAACCACTCAGAGCTGCCATCCATTCTTTACCGCAACAATTCCAGTGCGTACCAAATTCCAGCGTACGTCGCGTGCTTCCACGGCGTCATGTAAAACTCAAGGTAGTTGTACTTGCTTTTGCGAATCGGCTCGCCCGCTGGTCGAGGGGCGTCTTCATCGGCGGCCAATTCGTCAATCAAGATAGGGACGTAGTCGGTGGATCCCATGGCGCGGGCAAGTTGCGGCTGGTCGAGCCAGAAGAAGTGTCGCTTCTCGGGTTCATTCGGTGGGGAGAACGTTTTCTCCTAATGTGGACGATGTCAAACCATTTGGTCGAACCGACATTGAAATTGCACCTCTTCGCCCTGCACCATGAGCCCCATGATCGTCTCTAGCTTGGGTGCGGCTGTGAAAGCAGCTGCTGCGTTCATGTGTGCCTCCATCTCGGGCTTCGGCAGCCAGCCACGGTTCACAATCACTGAAGTTCCATTGAGTCGCTGGAAGAGCTGGTAAATGTACCCGCCCGACGACACGCGGCCGCCTTTTGTGTCTTGCATGTCAATGGGAGGCGATCGTGGATCTATTCAAGCGAGTGAGGTTTGAATCACTTCGACCCACCACCAGGTGCCACCGTACATAGATAGAAGGCAGAGCCTGGCACGAAGCTTCCTTCAATCTTCAACGGTCGGAACTCAAAGCCTTCGGAGGCTGTTGCTGCCGTGATGGTGTCTGGAAGCGCAATCACTGGTGCGTCCAGTTGCTTCTTACGCTGTTCGATCACGTCGAGTTTCCAAAAGTACCGGTTCGTCTACCTTGCTCCATGAGCTGCGGGGTCCCCAATAGTTTTGAATTTACCTGCCACACGCCCATCCCCGCAGTTCCCACCACGATGGATGAGAACACTACCGCGCCAACCTTCTGCATACTCCACTGCGTCTTGGGTGATCGAAAGGCCGATTGCTTCAATCAACCATTGGCCCAAAAGAAAACAAATTAACCAATCAATTCTCAACTGACATCACGCATCCGGATAATCTGTATCTAGGTACGAAAGGTCACGGAGTGGCTGCAGGAAGAGCGGAAAGGGCCGCTGCTCACTGACGAAGTTGTCCGAATGCGCATCGGTAACGAAGCACAGATGCTGCTACTGAATGACCCGCGGCGAAAGAGACGTGAGAGGTGACAAGATTCGATGCGTTCTCGACACCAGCGCGGTTCACTTGCTCTCCCTCCAGTGGTATGCACGTTGCCCCAGCGCTTAAAGTATGGTTAAAGGGTTTGACTGCACTGCCGGTGTGGTTTCACTGGGAAACGTGATGGAGTGATCGCGGTTATGTCGGTCGTCACTTTGTGCTCTGTAACGCGCGTTTGTACCATATTCCCGTTCTTCACACGGATCTTCCAGTCCAATCCGCCGCTTCTGTCGACATCTCCGATGGATCTGTACGACGTAGAGCCCACATTGTCCACTGGACGAAGATTTTTCGATCACGAGTTCACGTGCATGTGTGGCTCGCCGCGAAACTATTTTAAGGCTGCGTTGGACTTTCTGGCGTGGCTTGGCACTCGAGACATTTGTTCTTGTACTCGGCTTGGCATGCATGGCCAAGAATCACTGCTTGGGTGCTGTATCACTGATGCATTCAAAAGTCTGAAGAACCTGCACAACCCCTTAAAATGGAGACGAACCACGTGAGATATTCAATCGTTTGTTGGGTAGGAAAGATTTCCGCTGAATCGAAGTTTGTGAATGCCTTTCCTCCATCGCGTCTATTACTTTGCTGTGGTTCCCTGTCCTCATGGCAGCTCCCTTCCCCATCTCGAAGAATGCGCTGGGGCTTGCAGCATACGCTGATAAAACTGCCATTCGTTTCATCTTGATATCCCCACAACGACGATAGCATGGCGGCACATCGCAGGTCGAAGAGACCGACCCTGGGGGCGCTGGAAGAGGTCGAAGAAGTTGAGCCTGCAGAACCGACAACGCCCGGAGGAACATCGTCGGGAAAGAAGCGACTCCAGCTCACGATCAAGAACGTTTTGATGCGGGCACAAGTTACGCGCTTGTTCACGGACAAAGCACCCACCAACTTAGTTGTCCCAGAGTCGTTTTCCACGACGCCGCCATCATCGCTTTCCGTTAGACTAGCCCCGATCGTCGTGGCCCCACAGAAATCAGGCACAGGTCACCCGACGCCCCTGACGCCCCCACCTCTCATGCTAAACCACTTCTCGACGCAAAACGGCAACATTTGGTCCACTGTCGTGCGCAAAGCTACATTGAAGCAGCCTGGCGATGGTACCTCATCCAATCTCATGGGGGGGACTAGTTCTGCATGAGTGTGCTGATCTAGGAAGTGCAATTGCATCTCCTGACGAAGTCGACAGCGTCAGCGATAGCGCCGTCGCTGACAAAGATGCCAACGACCCGACCACCAAGCAGTCGCTACGAACACTGTTGAAAAGCCCCAAGGTCAAGCAATATGTAGACAAACATGCTGGCCGTTCTGGGGCGTCCGTGAAGCCGCTTCCGCAGTCGGCGACGATGCGGCATTGGTCCAAGGTGAACAGCTCGTCCATGTCGAACGTCGCGGATGTGACGAGCGCCCCCGAGACGACGTCGGAAGGCGCCAACGACGACGACGTAGGACTGCTTTTGCATCTTGACTTCGAACGATGTCATCACTCGCCTGTATCTAGCAAGATGCGGACGCGGAAGCGAGAAAAAAGGAAGCGAGCCATCCTGAATACGGCCGCAACCTGATCCTGGCCGAGTCGTGCCGCGCCGCGTTTTGCCGGGACGCCGAGAATCGATCCCACCAAGATCTTCTTGCGCTGCGCACGTGGTTTCAGAAAACCAAGCTCAAAACGTGCACAGATTTTGAGTCACTGCAGGCTGTCGAGGTTGTCGAGGCCCTCTAGGTTGACGTTTGTTTCAATTTGTTTTCACGGGTAGCTCACGCTGCTTTGTCGACGCATGAAGCTCCATGCGTACTACCCGAACGAAGTCGTGTTCAAGCAGGTATTTACCAACTCGCCGCGTTCACCCGTGGAAGATTGTTCATGCCAACGGCACAGGGAGACGACGGCGATGCGCTGTACATCGTGTTTTCAGGTTTGTCGTGTGGCCCTGTAGGCGCTGGGAACCACTCCATTGACATGTGCACGGGCACGATCAGGAAAAGTTGAAGTTCGTGTGACGCAAAAGGTCATGGGCGATTTCGTTGAGGTCGTTGTGTGTGAAATGAGCAAAGGTACGACCGACCTGGCCTACACCCACGGCATGACAATGTTATTAGGAGAGTTTTTTGGCGAGCGGTCGCTCCTCAACAACGAGCCTCGCGCAGGTGGGAAGACTCTTTTGGACGCCGGTGGCGCGCCGTCGCTCTGACGGCAGCGTTCCTTCGACCATGGTATAGCAACGATCGTGACCAAGACCGCCACGGAGCTCGTCTCGATCTGCCGGGACGACTACAACGTGATGTTGAAACAAGATCAGCAAGCGTTTTTGCAAAAAGCAGCGGCGGCGGGGGGCCAGCGGCTGTCCCAAGTGCGTAGTCGGCCATGGACCACAGCATCTTTTCACTGGGATGCGTTCTAGATCATGCTAAGCAACCACGACACGTACATCAAGATTCTCAAGAAGAAGCCGTCAACAAGGTCCAAAGCCGATCTCGTTACGCTCGCGACATTCCTTCAAACGCTCAAGTTTTTTCGCGGGTTGCCAAAAACGTTTGTCCAAGAGCTCTGCACGATCATCGACCTCATCAATGTCGATGCAAACACCACCATCTTCCGCGAAGGCGAAGTAGGCAAACTATTTTACGTGATCTTGAGTGGCGCCGTCGACGTCAAGATCAGCGCGGTCGACAAGCGGGGCGGGCCCATGCAGACCAAGTTGGTCAACTTGGGTGAAGGCAGCCACTTTGGGGACTTGGCGCTCATGAAGAGTACGTTCCGATGAACGAACGGATCGTAACAACGCGGCCGCTAGAGGATGGTTTGCGCAGCGCCACAGTCGTGTCCACCCATGCGTGCGAGCTGCTCATCATTGCCGAGAAAGATTACAACGCAATCCTCAAGAAGCTCCAACGCGAAGACATGGAGAAGCGCATGGCGTTGCTCGACAAAATTCCGATCTTTCAGTCGGTCGAGTGGACGTCCGAGATCATGAAGGAAGTCAGCTACGTCCTCGTCGAGCAACGCTTGCCCGCAGGCACTGTCGTGTACAAGCAAGGTGAGTACGTACCCGCGAGCTCCCGACGCTGCTGCAAATGACGCATTGTAGGCGACAAAGCAGTGCACTTGTACTTCCTCATCCGCGGTGAAGTCATCATCTCGCAGATAGTCAAGGACCCCAAGTCCCTCCGCGAGCACTCTGTCGTGGTCGAGCGCCTCGGGCCGTTCAATGTGCTCGGAGACGATGCGTACGTTTTCTTGGGTTTATGGCATGCCCGTCGGTCCACACGATCAAGAGCAATGTGGCATGGGGTGGCTGGCGTGCGACCGACCCCTATTGGCCTGTGCTCGTCATAACGATTGTGCTCGCATTAGCGCCACTGGAAAGAACTTCAACGAAGCTGTCATTCGCAGTGAATCTGCGACGGCCAACACCCCCATCGAAGTACGACATTGGGTGGCGCTCGCGTTTGGATCTTCAACACGAATTCTCGAGTAGGTCCTGGTGCTGTCCAAGTACGACGTGTTCAATCGGTTGTCGCGCACCGCACGAGAAACTCTTCGCGGCCATACGCATCGCCACAAGCAGCCCGTCGTCGTGTTCGATCAGCTGTACAAGACGCTCAAATGGGACGAGTACAAGGCTCAGGTTATCGTGGTCCATGCGCTGGGCTGGCGCTTCCATTGTTGCAGCTGAATGGGTCTGTAGGTCGTACGAAGGGAGGTCAACGTCAACCGGCTCAAGAAGGTTTTGCCACACACGGCGCGGTTCGGGGCGACCTCGACGTCAGTGTCGCAGGTACGTGTTCCGAATTGCGTTGTAGACCGAGCGATTCCGTCGACAAACTCACGCACGTGTAGCGCGGCGGCGGCAAACACACCCCGCTCATCGAAGGCAACGAGCTTCTGCTGCTGAGTCCAATTAAGCATTCGACGGCCACCCCGTCGAAAACGCTGGCCAACTACACTGTCCACTACAACCCGGACGTCACGACCCAAGACCGAAAAGCATTGCTGCGCGCGGTCGTGGACGCGCACGCGCGGGAAGCGATGAAAACGCTGGACGAAGGCAACCCGATGGTATACCTCGACTACTTGGGTGCGGTGCCGGTAGCTTGAATTCCGAATTGACTGTGCATTGTAGCTCCGGCCGCGCTCACGTCGACGTCGACCGCGTTTGAAAGCATCATGCACCCGACCGACGGCGTCTCGGAAAACTTCATCTTTTCGATACCGCCGTCGCGCAAGCCAAACGGAGGAGGGTCGATGGCCAAGGCAGGAGGAGTTGCATCTCCCGACAAGACCCGTGCCTCGCCCAAGCACTTGTCATCAACCACGCCGCCATCAAATCCAACGCCACCCGGAGGACTGCACAGCCGTCTGCGCCACGTCAGTCCTGGCTTTATCGTTGTAAACGTTGCCGGTCGAGGTAGTCATCGTTGATAGTGTTGCCGCATGCGTAACATGCCCCGACAGAGCTGTACCCGGTGTCACCTCAGCCAGCGTTCCGCATCGTCGGTCAATTCGCCGCCTTCGATGATGCCGTCGCCCGTGCGCAGCACGTTGAAGCCCATGAGAATACGCATGCATATCGGTCGTACGCGGCTCAACCAGACCACCCCGTCGAATACTTTGTCGTCGAGACGGCGCGGCATGTTCTGGTTCCACCGACCATGGCCCGCCTTTCCAGCCGCGAGTACTGCAGCACGAGGCTGCATGAGTACTTGCATGACCACGGCAACCTGAACAAGCTCAAAGTTTCATTTCGCCAGCTCCAACAAGGTTGTGTGCTTACGCGTCCAAACAAGCTCGACTGATGATCGTAGGCACTTCCACTATACTGGCCGACGAGTCAGCCACATTGCCCCGCCACGAGATCGACGGCATCATGAACGAAATGTGCGGTCACTTGGAGTGCCTCGCTCTGGCCGCACCGCTGCAGGCGCCTCCAGCCCCGAATGAATCCGCCAAGGTTGTGCCGCATCTACCATCGATGGATCTTGACCGGCCATTCTGGTGTCTGTAGTGCGTGAAGAAGCAAACGCTTCAGTTGCAAGACATCGAGCACAGCCACATGCCGGCCGAGCTCAAGCAAGCCAAATGCAATTTCGCCTGTGTGTCGACGCTGCTAGTCGGCGACGCCTCCGAGCCGAGTTTGTGCGTGTACGGGTGCTATCCGACGGAAGCCGAGGCGACGGACTTTGCTGAGAACGGGTTCGGATGACGACGGCACCTGCGCGCAATTACGTTGTTTGGATAGGTACCCGAACGAGCTCAGCGACCAAGCGCTGCTGTGTGTTGTCCCCATGTACGAATGGATCTATTTCGAAGACGCGAGCGACTGGTGCCTTCAAATGCGCAAGTCCCAAGACCGACACAACTTGGCTGTACACAAGAAGGAGCTGCACGCGATTCAGCAGCAGCCGATGGTCGCGAACGCAGTGTCTGTCGCAGTGGCAGTCCCCCGTGAGGTATTGTCCCCAACCGCATGTTGAGACGTTCGTTTATCTCGTGTGCAGGCTCCAGGGTGGATGGTCGAGCAGCAGCAAGGCCAGCGGCTGCATCAACTTATATGTTCCCATATGGGCGTCAAATCTACCGACAGGGATCAAGACGTGAAAGGCCTCGAAGACGAAGCATATACGTAGGCTGCAGCAACAACGCGATACGAAGGATCGACCTGAGCGACGGTTCTCGTAGGGTGAAGAGCAGCGTCACATTAGAGCAGAAGATGGATGCTCTCCATGACATCCTGAACGCTCGCCATCAACCGTCCGGGCTTGGAACGAGCCTCCAGAAGATGCAGAAGGTGCAGCGGTTTGGGCACATCATGAAGTTGCGCCTGCACAAGGCCGACTAACTGTGAAGACACGGTGGAGAGTGCATGATGATGAAAACACCGACATTCTGCGCTCTTTTATGCATTACATGCACTCCAGGCGTATTTAAAAAAACTCAATTCGAAAGGCATCGAATAAAAATCTCCTCTTCATTAAAAGCCACACAGTGGATATGAGAGTGACGGTTGGTCATATATCTGTTGTGTTAAAACCATGAGCAAGCGGAGACGCGACGCGGAGGATCGCAGAGGTATTGGCGCTCACTGGACCCGACGAGTAAGCGCCGCCGTGCCTGACATTTGGTAGAGTCAAAGAAGGCGAAGAAGAGCCACAAGAAGCATAAGAAGCACAAGGCGTCCAAGCATGACTCGCCAGGTATGGACTGTGCCACGAGCGCGTGTCTTCGCATCTAACGGAGGATCATGGCAGAGGCGACGATTACAATCGACGACTACTTTGAGCGCGCCAAAGAGTTCCGCGTGTGGCTCAAGCTCGAGAAGAACGTGTGCTTTGACGACTTGACGTCCACCGACGCGATGACGTACTTTGACAAGTTTGTGACCAAGTGGAATGCGAACCGACTGGATTCGATGTACTACACATCCATTCCACAGCATATTCTTGAGAGCATCCAGCGCACCCAGCACAAGTGGGGGTTCAAGATGAACGAGCACGAGCGGTTGGAACTCGCATCGATGAAGGACTCGGTCGACATCTCGACGAACACAGCTCCCGGTGCGACGTCGTCGGCGGCGATGGGATCGACTGGCCATCGTTCTGCCACTGCCATAGTATCTCGCCGCGACATTCCCGATTGCGACTCGGACGAAGAGCGGAAGCGGGCGAAGCGAGAAAGGAAGGCGTATGCGAAGCACAAAGAGATGGTGCACGAGGAGCTGGCACCAAAACCGACGGGCAGGTTCGTGGATCCCCATATCCGTCGAGATCACAATCCTTACGTCGTTGAATAGAGAGGCCACGATTGAGAAAAAGCGACAAATCGCTGCAAGCGTGCACGGGGCTGCGCGACAGAAGGAGGATGCAAAGGATGGGTTGAACCTCAGCGACGATTTCTTGATGGGTGGCTCGGACGACTTTCAGGCACGCCTCCAACGCCGCAAGTATGCGCAGGACCGACGAGCCGATGAAATGAATCAACGGGTGGCAGCAGCCAAGGTGAGTGCGCGTGAAACTCGAACACTCGGCTTGGCCACGCATGGGCCAATTTGTCGTCTTTCGAAATCTCAGGCGGCGCTTGACAATGGGTGTGACCATCCTAGGACGCGGAAGCCGCGCGCATGCAGAAGTTCCTGGCGGACATGGGAATTTAACCAGGTCAAGAACGGATTCAGATTGCCCCACGACAATAAAGTCTCCAATGGGAGATCCATGTCGGGTCACGGGAGCGCTCTATCGTCCATGCATCGTGTCCGCAGCAACTCTTGATGAAATGTAAACACGAAACCAGCGCCCACTTGCTGCCCTTTGAACACAGCGACACTGTCGTCACGTAATTCTCACAGTTCGACCCATCCTTGTCGTTTATCTGAGCGGCATTGAAGTCCGTGGGCCGGTCAAGGTACCGCTGGATCGTCGAGCACGCTGTGTCGTGGAATGGATTGCCTTGGATTTGAATACACGCGCTTGCTCAAATGCATTCAGCTTTTCTTCAAACGTCGGGGGCGGTTTGGGCGGATCGTGGATGAGCGTTCCTGGAATCCAGTCATAGTCAAGTCGATAGTGCGATGGGTGGCGAAGGGGCAAGAGCGTTGGGGTCCTTTGGGGGGACGAGTTGTCCTGGGCATGGACGTTGATGGGAATGGCTACCCAGCATTGCTTTGGGTTGACGTGTTCCTTCAATCTACCGTCATGTGTAAGGTACACCACTTGAAATTGGGAACGAACGAACCGGTGCCACTTCTTGATGCCCATTTTGCGTACGCCATGGATGTGGGGTGGCATTACAGGCGACAGCGGCGCCAGTCCGCGTGGAGGGCGGGCGTCATGGTGGAGTCGGTGGGATCGCGGCACATTCGGCGTAAAGTCTTCACGAGCCCAGACACGCTTGAGTGTCGAAACAAGCAGTTCACGCTCTTTGGCATGGCACAACATCAGCTTGTCAAGATAACTGGAATTCTTACGGCGGTGTTCGGGGCTGTCGAGAGCACGAACAGCTTTCTGCTTCAAGAGACGTCGCCGTCGCCGTCGTGCTTTCGCTCGTCGTCGAAACATCAGTCGGGCTGCACACCCTCGCCACCACCGCTGAAGCAATCGAACGGCCATGATCTGCCATGCCGCTACCAAGACGTTTGCAACGATGTCCGAGGCCCGCTCACGACAGAGCAAGCGGCGCCTAGAAAGAGACATCGCAGGTCACACGTAACGGACTCCTTGGTGAATCGAACTAAGTCGTTCAGTGTCTGGTAAAGATCGATCTGTCACTGCCTTGCGGCTTCACAAGGCATTCAGGATCGTCAACAGCGCACCACTTCAAAAATTCCTCGAGGAATTGTGACCTGCCAAATGCTGATCGTACCCCACATCTCGAAGGAACTGTGCGGCGGCAGAGCGGTCCTGCGCTTCCAGCGCCCATCGCGAAGCAGCGTGCCTGTAGTTGTGCTGAATGACCCGAGCATATTGAGTCTGTTTGATGTGCCAAGCTCGGTGCAAGTTGGATGCGACGTGGGCTGTGGTCGTATCTAAGAGCCGCATGACTTTGTCGGTAGCAGCGGCGTGGACCGCAGCTTTGTAATGGCGGAGCTCAATGCGACACTTCGCACGGTCGACCCACCCTCGCACAAATCGCTCGACAAGCTGCATGGCGCGCTCAGATCTGTTGCACACAGTAAGTTGCATTTCATGGAGCTGGCGAAATACTATACCGCAGGGCGGACGTCATGCCGCGCGAAAAGAACATTTTGGCGAACTTTTGGAGCTTGTCGAGAACTTTGAACGACGGGATCTTGGAGAACACGTACTTGTGTGCGAGGCTCGTGAACCTTGCCAGAGGTTTTGCCATCGCCTCGGGCACGCGCAGAGCCGTCGTGAGGGTACGGCAGGCAGCTGCGGTGGTTTTCGACACTTTGTTCACCAAGCGGTGTATTGGCGACGTCGATCGCACAGCCATAGAGCGACCGACCTGTTTGGGAACTCGCCGTCGAGTTGGAAAAATTCGCGACGCCAACTGGATTGTCGATGTGATCGTTGTCTTGATCTTGGTGATGCTTTGGGTCACGTGGTCTTCGTGGCGTCGCACCAGCATTGTGGAGTTCACAGATGCAGATGGAGTCGAGGGAAAGTGCAATGCAACGTGCAACTGTTCCTTTCGCGCTTTTGCATTCTCGAAGAGCTTCTTCATGACCCCTTGAAGGCCACCAGGGCAGGTGCGGCGACGATAGTGATGTCTACTTGGTGAGGGATTGAAACTGTTCGTCGTTACGCTGAGCTGGATCTCCGAAGGATATAACAGCAGAGCACTCGTCATACGCACCGCACATACCGTTGCGCTTCTGCTACTTGTTCATCTGGCCAGTTCTATCGCCTTGATGGCCGATGGCGATCGGTTTGTTGTGCAGCCATCCTGCGCTCCTGGTGGCGGGAAATGGGTTTTCTCGAGGTTGAAGTTTCTTGAATTTGAATTCAGCCGATTTAAATTTTATCGAATTTTCTCCGATTGGAGCAATGATGCCAATTTTACACGAAAATTTGAACCTGTGCAAAGCATTTGCGAATTCAACAACGACGGTGGCGGCAACGAGTTGATGCGTGCGCTGACCCCATTCCTCAAGACCTGCCTCCTGGTGGCTCTGTCAACCCCGCTGCAAGACGTCCTGAACATGCGTGACCGAATTTCCAGGTTTGGGATAATGGGCCCGCACATCGTCCTCGTGTCACGACTGGACCCCCAGTCAAACGCTGTCCTTGTGCACGATGGATCCCACTCGATGTGGGCGTTCTTGCCGCCGTCGTCTGTGCAAGTTATCCATCGGACGTATCCTCACATTCGGTCGTTGAAGGACTTTCGTGGATGTGTAGTGCGTGTCGAAGTGAGTCACTTCTCGACACCACGCCGACATACTTCAGCGTCTCACGCGACAACGAGTTTGGGGCGGATCTGTCTGCACGTCATGAGCATGGAGATTCTTGACGTGCCATCAATCTCACCGAATGAATCACCACTTGTTCTGCACGATCCGTCCATCGCGTCTCAAATCTTGGATATGCCTCTGGCGCGCCTGGAAGCTCGCCTCCTTCCTCACAACTCTACTTCGTCAGATCAACCACTCCACCCTCACAATCGGCGATACTATCACGCGTACATGTTTCATGAGGGCCATCCACTTACACTAGAAGACTGCATTATCCCATCGGACCAGTGGCGACAGGTTGTAGGCGACAATCTGAAGGACTCACTAGTGCTTGCACAGAAGCGGAGCGATTCCTTGCCGCTATCGTCGTCGGAAAGCCAGGCTGCGGCTGGATCACTTCCAACTTCAGCTTCCCTTTATACTTCAATCACCACGCTTCCATCCGCTTCGTCCGCGCTACTCAGCAACGATACTCCAGTCGCAGCGGACACTCAGGCGACACGAGCATCCTCAGCCTCATTAGCGACTCAAGCTCCTTCGGCCTCGCCCCCTACCCGTCCTTATGCTTTCTGCCACCAAAGCCTCCCAGACAACTTTATCGTGGACTCCGATACCTCGCCTGCCTCCTCGGCGTTTTCGAACAGCTCGCAACATGCCTACCCGCGCCCACTCTCAACTCCACCTATCGAAACCACCGACCATCTTCGCAAAACGATGGCGCCTTCGTTCGCCGACAAAGAGAATCCGCTACAGACTTCAAAAACGACTGGTCGCGCCATGAATTCTGTCAACACCGCGGGTAGTCAAACCCCGCGGCAACCTCTGGGCAATACGACCAACTTGGTCTCACCCACTTTGCCCGTCGACGGCCAACTTGACCTCGCTGCACCACACGATGTGCTGACACGAAAAAGTGCGAAGCGTTCCGCGACATTGCGACGTCGTTCCAAGTCGACTTCGTCGTCGTCGTCATCGTCGTCCTGCAAGCGATCTCGTTTCTCGTCACGGTAAGCTTCCTGCAGCTGTGTTTGTCGAGGATGGGTCTCTATTGATTCTATGTCGAGTGATTCCTTTTCCAGTTCCTGTGGCTGCGATGGCATGCAGGTGAAATGTGTTTGTCCATGGTACTCGGTCGACTGTCCCTTTGAATTTTCTTGAAACAAAATTTGTCCTCTTCGTGGCATCATTTAGTTACTGTTCGTACGCAGATTTGACTGGGACGATGAAACAAAAGATGAAGTCGCCAAAGCATCTCCTCCAACCCGACGACCATGTGCGTTGGGCTTGGATGGACCGTCACCGCGGAGAGGCTGCGTGGACGAGTTGTCATCACCTAGGCGTGCCTTCATTCACTCGACGTACTTTTCCCAGTGGCAAACGCAGCAGGAAACGCAGACGCGACTTGAATCGTCCCCAACCACAACAAGCCCCCTCGTGCGGCAACCACCTGACAACGAATACGACCTGATGTCGGTGCTGGATGAACGGCACGACAGCACCGGCGATAGCGAAACTGCTCGTGCGACGGATTTCTTTGCCACGATGCATTTCCGACCGTCCATTCGACATGGCGAACTCCATGCGATCCAATTGGCAACCGTAGATTGCACGGCAGCCGTTCTCGATTTCATTCGAAGAGGACGAAATGCCAGAAAGCAACAACCGCACGCACTACCCCGACCTGTTTAAATCCCCATATCATGGCATGGTCGGCGTCCCTGGCATCAAAGAGAGGCTAGAACAGAAGTACGGCAGCTAGCAGTGCGAACTCGCATAATCGAGTGCAGAGCACGATATTGAATTCTCTGCAGTTTGCCCCTCCATGGTCAGTCGCTACAGTGGTGCCCTCGTCAACGGAAGGTTGCCCCACGCCCTGCACGAACATGGTAGTTGAACCCCTCGTCGAGAAGGCGATGCCACTTGGCTCTATCCCTCCTTCCGTGGCTTCGTACGCAACATACTTGCGTGTGCGGCACTGATGTCCGAGGAGATTCGTTTCGGTGGCACGACTGGCATCCTTTGGCCGTACGAGGTCGTCCACAAGAACTTGGATGCGTATCTTAGGGACTTGAGATTGTTCGAGTCATTTAGTGGGGCGTACCTTGCGTTTCCTCTGGTTAGCTCCCGCAAGCGGCGGTGCCAGAACTGGTCGAGTTCACAGCCGAGAATACGACGACCATACCAACGTTTCTTACTTTGACAGACTCCATCACCCAAGTGGGAAGGCTCCCCGACCTTTGGGTTCCTGGTTCACTTGAGCAACACAACATTCGCAAAGCAGGCACAATCGAGCTGCTGCGACTACAGCGCCTGGACGACTGAGAATCTACCTACTGCCCTCACGCCGTTTTGCTGTGCACATCGGACAATGCGTAGTATAAGGCGGATCGATCGGCCAACTAGGCAACATTTTGTGCATGCTACGAGAAACCACCTATCGACGTTCGACACTTTTCACGACATGCATGACAGCTCGACCCTCCATGGAGCGTCCTGGGTGCCAAAGAGCAACTAAAATGAGGACACTTGCCCTCGTGCTGCCTGCGACGTTGCTTGGTGCATTGCATCCCCGAATAGACAAGTTTGCGACATAGTCAAGATGGAGGGCCACAGCCGCAACGAGTGTGGTGCTCGATATAGAATCGAGCAAATCGCATCATGCAGGCGACTCCGTCCCCCATCGAGTCGCAAACAGTCGCCCGGCAGTTGTTGCAACGCACAACAATTAGATCCAAGATGGCGTCCGCGCTAAAGTTAGGCTGACATCCTTCATCTCGCCAGGGACTCACTTTGCCTCTCGCCTCGCCAAGCAAAACATACCCAACACATCGTGTCGACCATGCAATTCACCCACCTTTTTGCAGTCTTGAGCTTGGCTGCTGTGGCCCGCGCCGACTGCGACAGTGACGTCACGACCGCGAACGCTGTCTTGTTCACTCAAGCGTGCATGAACGACCTGCAAGGTGGCGATCGGCTGTCGTACGCCACCGTCTTTGAAGATTACCGAAGCAACGCCAACACCATCTACAAGTATGGGCTGTGCGGGTCCACGACGTGCAAGGATGAAGTCGCCGCGTCCAACTACCCGACATGCGCCGTCACTAGTGCGACGAGCTACACGGCCGAGGTCGCGGGGCTAGCTACAGCCTGCGGGACATTGGACACTGCTGTTGCCGCCAACGGTGGCACGTGCACCGAAGCTCAAATCGCCGACAACATTTGGGCGAAGCATGTCGTAGTTCTCGACTCGGCTTGCGCGACAGGGATCAGCGCGACGGCGGGCAGTTCGTGGTACACTGTGTTCCAGACTCTGGACACCGCGACGCCCAGTACTCTCACCGACTACTGTGCGACTTCGGCCTGCGTGGACCTTGCCACGACCACGAAAGCGAAGCTGGCGAGCTGCACGGACGGAACGGACTCGAATAAGGACCTCTACGCGGCCGTGGGGGACGTCATCACGTATTGCAACACACCGACAACCACCGCAGCTCCCACGACGACCGCCACCACCACCGCAGCTCCCACGACGACCGCCACCACCACCGCAGCCCCCACGACGACCGCCACGACCACCGTAGCTCCTGGGGCGACCACCACCACCGCAGCCCCCACGACGACTGCTACCACTACTGCAGCCCCCGCGGCCACCACGACTGTTGCGCCTACCACGACCACTGCTGCCCCCACCCCCACGCCTACCAAGTCGTCTGCGACCACCGTCGGCGCCACGGCCTTAGTGACGCTTGCGGTGGCCGTGATGGCGCTCTAGACTAGCACCCTCACACTTGCATTTTCATAATGCACGGATTTCGTGTATGGATTCGTCACGTGCTAATCACTGTCTGCACAAAGTTGGAAAATGCACGTCGTGGGATCGAACCCGGGTCGACTTGCCACGTCATTGATTAACAGTTGTCGACAACATCAAACGACCTTTTTGCCATATCTCAGCCAATACATATCCAATTAACGTAGGAATTTGAATGTGGTATACGGCGTCACC